CGCAGTTCTGCCTAGCCAGCGCCATGAAGACGACAATGTAAAGAGTGACATTACGGTGCAATTTTAATGAGGTGAATATTTTCTAGAAATAAAAAATTGCAGATAAAGCATATAAATTTTTCATTGATTCTTGCACCCAACAACACAACAAGATGACATTTAATAATAAGAAGAATAATTTAAGATCCTTATTTTGTAGCCGAATCTGTGCTGGTTTGTATTTGCCGCCTCCAGTTTTCCCTTTGTTCTGCCACCAGCTAGCGCCGTGACGTAACTGTGACGTCGGCTGAAAATTGGTCTATAAGTAATAATAATTATGAGTTGAATTGAGTGAATTGGGCTTTCAGATGAGGAAAAGGCTTGTTAGTACTGGTTAGTGTTTGTTAGTATTGTTGTTGTGTTCAAATTTTTTTCTTATACCCAGTTTTCAGAGATTATTCCAAACATACTCCATTGTTGAGGTTTGGTTGTGTTTAAATATCTTATCTTTTTGTCTCTGTGGTCTTTATATATTTATAATCTTTATGACACTTGCTTTGTTACATCCCAGTAATGTTTCTGAATTCAGTGGTTTAAGGGTTTTTGATATAAAAGGGTGATTTTTAAAATGTAATCAGGAAAATCAAGAGGTTGTGACCCAGTGGAGTTTTCTTATTTTTCACAGCATTAGTATATTCTTCTTATTCAATACACCTCTAGATTTCTCTCCGTTCTACAGAACAGATTGAAAAGACGCTCTGACAACAGAAAGTGAGCAATGATGATTATGAAATAGCTGTTCATTAACACAGTCCAAACAAATATCTCTCCATTCTCAACAGCGATCATCTGGGCCCTACAAACCAGCGAGAAACTAACAGATGTTCATGTCTGGCTGAGTGATCAGGACTTCATGCTTGAATTGCTCTGTGTTCAGTCGGGTTTAGCCCATTAGGTTGGAAATGGTCGAGTTTACATGTCCACTTTTGGACATTAGCGTTGGGCTACACATCATGATTGTGTTGTCGTTTATTGGAGCGCCGTTATGTAGAAACGTGAATATGTTGTATTAAAACTGTTATTTTACAGTTTCAAATCAAGCTTGTGTAAAAATGAGTCAGAATTTAAATGAAAAAATCACATTAGGAAATGAGCTCCTTAGTTTCTTCCTCTTCTTAAGATCTTCTTGAGATCTACAGACAGCACTTAAGGTTGGCATTGGCAAGCATATTGGTAAGGTAAAAGAGAGGTATTTCCCCTCAGTAACTTGAAAGACTGTAACCTCATGCTTACCGCTAAAGATTGAACCACTTTATTCTAATGCAGATTAGTAGTTCTTTGTGTTTACACCACTGTGTGCTCGAGTTCATCTGTACTGTAATTATTTTTGAATTGTTTGGTGTGTTTACCTGTTTCAGATTATGAACATGTTTTAATCAGTGAAAAAAGTTTGTAAGCATGCAATCCAGACCTTAAGGGGTTTGTTTACCCCAAAATTCTGTCACTGTTTACTCACCCTCATGTCGTTCCAAACCCGTAAGACTTTCATTCATCTTCGGAACACAAATGAAGTAGCCTGGCATGCCAGACCTACATCAAGATGTTAGGTCTGGGAACTCTCCATTGACATACCTCAATCCGAGGGGCGGGATAAACGGTTACCTTTCAAAATCCCTCTGCACGCAATAGGATAGCGCTACAACCAACCAGAGCAACGAACGGTTGTGGCTGAGTGAGTCCCATACGTTTTTCCACCAGCGGAGCTAATTGATATATTAAACTTTTGCCGTATCAGGTCGGTAAAACTCCGAACACATCTTCCTTTTTTAAGAATGACTTAAGTGACGTTCTCTTAACTCCAAGTCCTCCAGAGTCGCGGCCAAAGCCGATTCGAAAGACCGCTGCATCTTCATTGTTTTCAAGTAGCAGGAAAATCACCTATGGAAATCACGCGGAATGTCATGAACTGTGCCGTCATTGTGTTAAGCCCGCCCGCCGACTCTATACACGATGTGATTGGCCTGACCAGTTTTTGGTTTTTACAGCTCAAAAGCCTATGGAGAGTTGCTAGACCACACTGGCTGCGAAATAATTTTCGCTGCCGCTAGGGTGCGTCTAGATTTCTAGGCTAAAAAATGAAGATCTTTTTAAAGAAATCTGATACATTTCTGTCCCTCCATTGACAGCTACGCAACTGACACTTTGATGCTTCAAAAAGTTCATAAAGAGACTGTAAAACGAATCCATAAGAATTGAGCGCTTTAGTCCAGATTTTCGGCTTATATTCACATATAAGCATTCATCAGCCCACACATCAGATCTGGTAATCGGAAGCTTAAACATGTTCGCTTGACATGCGAGAACCAATGAGGTTCATTCTTGTGTTACGCAGCACGTTTGAGCTTCCACAAGTACCAATGAGGTTTGTTCTCGTGCGTCAAGCATGTACGATTGAGCTTCTGTTTATGTTCGCTGATCAAAAATCTCTAATATTTCATTAAAAATATCTTCATTTGTGTTTCGAAGATGGACAAAAGCCTTACGTGCTTGGAACGACAAGAGGGTGAGTAATTGATGACAGTTTCTTTTATTTTTGGGTGAACTAACCCTATAACAGCTGACTGTCTAAACACTGTTTTAACCTACTTTTATACCTCCTGCTGTTATTCAGTCATTCATGCTGTGTTGTAGTTACTAGGAGTCACTGTCGTAGACTTACACAAGCAAGAAAAACAAGCATCCTGACCAGCTTGGGATTGCAACAGGCTCAACCAATGGTATGAGGTCAGGACGGGGCTATCTATTTGTTTGACCAATGGATGACAGGGGCCATGTTTAAAGAAACCTGTTCTAAACCTGTCTTTATTTTTTCTGTTCTGTTTGGTGACACCAGAGGTACGAAAACAGCATACTTCATATTCAGTGCACATTGTTCCAATGTCTTTGTAATCTATCATTACGATCGAATAAATTGCTTTCCTTTTCAGCTGACATCGCCAAGCCCTCTTATTTTTCAGCCCTCTAACTATCTGTCATATGGAGAATTTTTTTTTCCAACCTAGTAAATTCCCAATGGATAAAATCAAGTAATTTTTCAAGTAATCAAAATCATTTTTCACTTACAAATTGCCATGTCAGGGTCTAAGGTTGTTGCATTAAATATATAGAAGTATATGTTGGATGCTCATAACCTAGATTCTGCTGTGTATGTGTGTAAAGCCTTGAGCGGTTGTGCTACTGTTTTGAAGTAAGGAGGGCGGCAAAGGGGCCACCGAGCTCTTACGCTTCTCTAGCCAGATTTTGATGCGGTGGTTTATGCCGTTTGAGAATATAAGATTAGGTCCCTCTGCTTTTGGAAGTAGAAGATCCTACTTGCATGTATAAGCCCCAAAAGCAAACCCTCAAGGAGCTGGACAAGCTCTTAAATCACTCTGACAGATCAGGAAGAGCCTCAAGCTCCTCATGTGAGTCCGAATCCTGGTCTCTTTACCTCAGTCAAACTCGGATCCTTGTGCTCATAAACAGTCTCGGAAGAAAAAGAAATGTCTCATTAGTTAACTTTTATTGCAGATCGAGTTCTCTTTAAACACCTAGAATCTTTATGGATCCTAAAATCCATTTTTAAAGATGACATGAAAACAAATTTTCACAATTGAATTAGCACAAAATGAGGTTTGTAACAGATTTTAATTAGATTATGTGATGTTCTGAATGCAACAGGATTTTCAACAATAAAATAATGTTGGTCAGGCCGCAGGACTTGAAGCTATCCTTTGGGAATTGATTGGATTGTGCAAGGTGTCTTATTTGACAGGAGGTTGAAGGGGATGAGCTAAAAATGAGAGGGCTTGGTCTTGGTGACATCAGCGGAAAAGGAAAGTCATTTCAGAGGCAGAACAAGTTATTACATTTTGATGAAAAATTGCACAAATTCTGATGAATTATTCACAATAAGACCAGGAACGTGTGGTCTATTAATAAAGTAAAATTCAGTTTAAAATATATGTTGCTTTTAACAACGTTTTCATAGTTTTTCATCAAAATATTAATATTAAGAGTTAATCTCTTCTAATGATGTAACAAGGGTCACATAGTCAATGGAGAACATTTAGTAATAATATCTATCCAACTGACCATACACTAAAAACATTTGCTGCATTCAATTTTTAAGTACAATCAACTTGGATGTTTAGGTCATTTCAACTCAAATTACATTAAACTGACATTAAAAAATAAATTGAAACTTGTATAATGTATAATAAAAGTAAAAAATTGCTTAACTTATTTTGGTGAGTTAAAGCAATGTAAAAACATATGTTGTCATAACTTATTGATCATATAATTTTTTATAGTGTATGATTCAATCCTGTAGATGACGTATACTGCGTGAAAAGGCCTCTAGTCACAGCAAGGCTTCTGTCTACAACAATATTGCAACACATAATCTTCTAATGAATGCAAATAAGGGCAGAACAAACTCTTATTTGGATTTATGGGATGGAAATAATGCCTGTTCTCATAATGATCATCAGCACAATAAAACGCAACACATTTATTATTATTACGAGTCATTTTCAGAGGCAGGACCAGCGGGCTTTAACAATGCAGCCAGAGAATCAATTTCTTGTTTCTGTCTTGTTGTCGGTTTTAAACTTTTTATTTTTATTTTTTTTTTTTATCTTTTGTTCTGTTTCCTACCATTTCCATTGGCAACTGAAAATTTGTTTTTAGGTTGTAGCTTTCCACACACTAGTACAGTAGCTTCTTGGGTTCTGTACTCCATTCCAGACCTGATGAAATAAAATGTTTTTTTTTATTATTATTGTGGGGTAATTTACTTGGGTCAAAACCGTCTAGCAATGCCTTAGCAACCACCCAGACCTCCAAAGCAACATGGCTTAATAGTGCAAGTTTTGCACTAATAAGCACCACTCACATTTTCTTCAGACATGTAAAAACACCTATATAGCTAAATTTACTAGACATTTTTTAACGTTTTCTGATGTTCTGCTCTGTTTCAGATCACCGTGACAGAAACGGTGTTGTTCTTGATAGAGTATACATCAAAAGATCTTGACAGTCGAGAGAAGACCATCGTGAATGGGGACTGCTGTTACCTCAACCCATTAGTGCGGAGGACTTTCCGTTTCCTTGGTATGTCACTGCTATTCCACTTTATTTTATGGATCTTTTTATGGAACTTTGTGCCTTCATCCCTGACATTCAATTTACAGTTAAACCATTGGAATCACTTGGAAGTAGTTTTTCCTTCTTAAGAGAAAGAGGTTGTTCTAACCTACGTTAAGTGCAGTGCACTAGTGGCAAAAACCTTTGTATTTTAGGATAGAACCTGTGAAGGAATGTTTGTGAAGGACTTTATTATCCTTAAAGCAATGCTTAATTTAAGCCGGATCCTGTTCCGAAAAATGTCAGATGTGGGATTTTTGCGTTCCGGCATTTGTTTTTAAACAATCCAGCATTAGCATGTACATTACATGGCGACAGTGTGTGCGTGTGAGAGACAGAGCGGGTTTATGCAGATGTATTTGGAGAGTATGTTTTGCTATTGGCCCTCAGGATATATATTTTTGACCAATTAGCTTTCTTAAGTTCAAAATCACTATCATTAGTTGGTGCTAACTGCTTAATTTTTTGCGAGCAAGTAAAACGTAAAGTTTGGAGAGAGTGTTTATAAATTATTCTAATAAAAATAAGTTAATATCGCCAAAATGTCGAAAAGACAGTCAAGCATATTTTCATTTTCCATATTCACGAGTAAAGCTGATGGTGTTTTAAAAGAGATCCCGAAGATGTAACTGCTAATACTAATCAGGATAGCGGGAGACATGAGCAATGGGTCAGTCAGTATCAGGAATCGATGTATGACGTGAGAGAGAATATCACTGATCAACTGAACAATATTTGGTCTCAACGTAGCTATACAGTATATAAGTTCTTAGGGCCGTGCAGAAACCTAATAATGATTCTCTTTTTTTAATGAATAATGCTCTTTTAGTTGTTCCATCCCCATTTTGTGAAGTCATTGTATGTTCCGGGAAAACTAAAGTTGTATGGTCAGTGTCAGTCACACACTGTTTTTGATTAATCATTTACAAATTAAACGCTGCCTTAAAAGTGATGTTTAATTAGTGCTTTTCCGATTTCGCTTTCTTTGATGAGCATGTCAGCATTTATTTTGTGCATTCAGTGTGGATAAGCTACTACAGGTAAACATGTCAGCAGTGTGGAAGCATTTCACCATGACCAAAAAGGATGCTAAAGAAGCAATATGTAAAACTTGTTTGGCTGAAAACAAGGCTGCTCGTTGCTGAAGAACTTTACATCTGGTTTAATTTATCACCTCTTTATATTTATCATGACACCATGAATAACAAACTGAGTTCAATTACCCAATTAAACACATTTAATTAGATTTTAAGTTTAAATTAAAACTTTAAAGTGCCCCTATTATACTTTTTCAGATTTTAATTTCATGTACTGTGTAATATAGCTGTGTAAATGTAAAAGGTCTACATGTCGAGAAAACATCTAGAAATCCACTTTGCACGCACTTTCAAAGGTTGTGGACTCGGACAGTTATTGATATGGAAAAACTGATGCCATCGTTACTGTTTGTATCACTCTATCAAGTGTTGAGAAACTCTCTGGAGCTGAAATTCAGATATGGTAATGTGTGTTTCGTTTCTGACATGTGTTAGACCAATCACAACAGACTGGGCCATCTGACCAATCAGAGCAGAGAAGGCTCTCAGAAATAAGGGCGTTAAAGAGACCTGATCCTTGATCTAACCATTCCAGACACCGAGAAAAGATGTGATCCTGCAAAGAATATGTTTTTTTGACCTTGGATGCATGTAAACCTATTGTAGGAAATACTACGGTGGCCGAGACAGCTCAACGCGCTGCAACTGAAGCAAACACATGCAAATAGAAAAAAACGTGTGCAAATAGAAAAAAACACATGCAAATAGAAAAACAGGTGTGCAAATAGAAAAAAACACCTGCAAATTAAAAAAAAACACAACACACGTGTGCTCCAAATACAGAAACGCGCTGCAAAAGTTCACAACACAACCAAATACAGAAAACGCGCTGCAAATAACACAGACCACAACGGAAATGTTTCCAGGGGAACCAAATAAGTGACGAACCCGGCTGGGACGTGCTTATTGCTCGTGTCGTGAGCTTCCCTATGCCCTACTCCCTTCGAAGGGCAGATTGCAGAGCCCTTAAAGTGGGACTGTGGAGTGAGCAGGGCTCTAGTGTGCTGTTAGGCAGCCGTGTGGAGCGCACTTGATGAAGGAGCAACGAAAGACAACGTAATTTCCTCATTATTTTCACCTGGGATGTTCCCATGACAACGCAGCATGGTGTCCATCAGCTGGTCTTACGACAGAAATATAATGCTGTTCACATAACGGATGCAAATACATTTTTATTTTTAGTTTACAAAAAAGCTTTTAAAATATGCGTTATATATGTGTGTCTCAACTTAAAAAATTTGGACCCTACATTACCTAACATTTCTTACGAAACTTTTCTTTTTGAAAATGTAATAACATGAAACAATTTGTACAGTGTAACTGATGTATAGATAAATATCTTTCCTTCATGTTTTTCTGCTTTATCTTTTTTATTTATTTATTTTAGTTTCCAGCTCATTTTTATTTTCTCATTTGTGTTCTGATGACATTGAACATATTGTTAATACATTTTGTACATTGTATACAAGTTGTATGTCATAAAAAAATGTAAACTCTGTATGTTTTGCACAAATAAATACATAAATAAAGTATAATTTTAAGCTGTAAGCACCAGCACGCATAGATTTATGGATATCTATGCCCGCACGTCCCAGCCGGGTTCGTCACTTATTTGGTTCCCCTGGAAACATTTCCGTTGTGCTCTGTGTTATTTGCAGCGCGTTTATGTATTTGGTGGTGTTGTGAGTATTTGGAGCACACGTGTGTTGTGAAACTGATGAAGATGTTTTCTTAATTTGCGGATGTTTTTTTTTATTTGCACGCGTTTTTTTCTATTTGCATGCGTTTTATTTTATTTGCATGTGTTTTTTTCTATTTGCATGTGTTTTCTTCAGTTGCAGCGCGTTGAGCTGTCTCAGCCACCGTAAAATACATATATTTATACATACAAGATAAAGCACCTCCAAAACAAAATTGGGACCTTTAATAGCATAATAGGAGCACATTTTGGTTGCAGTGTTTCTGTAAAAAAATTATTTTCGGTGCATTACTACTGGAAACACAGTCTGTACATCTATATGATCTACAGGTGTTTTTTTTGTTGTTGTTTTTTTGCTGTTTATGTAACCTCACGTGCCCTACAGCATCATGATGGTAAAGCCTCTTCAACCACATCACATGCACTTAATGCAGTTTAACAAATTAAGACCAGACTTAATCTGATCTCTCTCTCTCTCTCTCTCTCTCTCTCTCTCTCGCTCACTCTTTCATTCTCTGTTTCATTTTGTCCCCCTTTTCAATCATTTTCTCCCACTAATGCTTCAGTGTTTTTCTGAGATAAAGAAACAGCAATGTCATGGATTATTAGCCTGATCCCCACTTCCATCTCCTATTCATTTCTGCATTAAATGGTTCCTATTCACTGCAGACTCTCTCACTTTCCGGCAGAATATACAGTACTTTAGTCATAGTTTCACAGTTTCCAGTGCCTAGTCATCCAGGCTGCTTGTTGGACATCTGACGGCATTAGCGGTCTTAAAGACTAATCAGATAAGCAGAATTCTTCCTAAGCCTCCTACAGTGCTGAGAAGGTCACATTTACTTTACTGACAGCATCTGTCAATGTTCAGCAGAAGTCAATGTGGCCCGGAGGAAATCGGATGTATCTTTGAGCTTCTTTTACAACGTTTGTCTCCTCAAAAGTATTGTCATGATTTAATCTACATGGTGACATTTTTATCTTTAAAGAGATATAACAGTTATTTCAAGCTCCAAATCATCAGGTTTTCTTCTTAAAGATAAAGTTTACCCAAATAAAAAAATTATGTCTGTCTGATCATTACCCAACCTCATTTTGTCACCAAAAAAAAAAAAAAGATCAGAAATCAAACTGAAATTTAAGTTGTTATTCGCTCTAAATCCACTGCATTTCTTAAATCTCATTCATGTTTGATGTCTGTGACCCTGTAAATTCATACAGGTTTAAGCAATAAGGTTCGAGACGTTGTGGTCAGAAGATTTGGATCAGTAATATTTTTTTTTTTTGAAAGAATTTAATGCTTTTATTCCACATGGATGCATTAAATTGATCAAAAGTGACAGCAAAGACATTCATAATGTTAAAAAGATTTATTTTGAATTAACTTTGTATTCATCAAAGAATCATGAAAAAATTTATCATGGCAGCAAAACTATTTTAGGTCATCAACATGGATAATAAAAATAAAGTTTCTTAAGCAGCAAATCAGCATATTTGAATAATTTCTCAAGGATCATGTGACACTGAAGACTGGAGTAATAATGCTGAAAATGCAGCTTTAAATTTCAAAACATTAAAATATAAAACAGTTATTTGAAATTGTTTTTACTATATTTTTGATCAAATAAATGCAATGCATATGTAGCACTTGTCTGAATTATTAGCAGTAATTTAGTAGATATTCTTTTTACTTTAGTTTTATAATAAAGATAAGATTTGAATTTCGTCAGAAGGATTAGGTATCGCTAAGGAGACAGCGGGTTGTCATGAAAAGTAACAGACAGACACAAGATTAGAAGTATAATTGGGTTCACTTTAAATAAAAAATAGAAAATTTGTCAAGTTAAAGAAAGTAAAATCACAAAATCACATAAACAATAGTCAAAACGATTGACTATGAAAATTCCCACCTCGAGTGCACTCTTGTCGGTGTTTTCATATATATACTCACATAGTCAGTTTAACACTCAGAAAGAAAATAGAAAATAACAAACAAGATGCAACAGAAAATAGTATAATCTCTCTCTCTTGAGACCCTTAAGTGTCTCACGTAAAAGTTCCAATGTCTCTCAAATCTGGATTGTGGTTGACCCTCAAAAAAAGAAGAAAAATAGTTCTTAAAATCAAATTTGTGATCGAGTACGAGTAGCACTGGAAACTCAAGGAAAGGA